AATGATTTTCCTAAGGCTAGATAAGGAGCGCTGTGACTTGCCAGAGGGGAGAAGATCTAAGATAAGGTTTGTTTTGCAAAAATCTGCTCTGAATAAATCCTGGGAAAATCTGCACTACGCTGTGATGTCACAGCCCTTCCCTACTTTAAAGTTAATTAAGAGGAGGGTGTGTTAAGTTCCTCTGTCATCATAAATCTAGTCTTCCGTGTGTCCGATGGTAGAAAGACTCCTGCCCTGCTGCCGCCCGGGCGAGCAGCCTGGAGCGTAGCGATTGCTTTCGCATTCCACCTGCCTCCCCGGCTGCCCACCCTGGGCTCACCCCGAGGTAGGCACGGGGCAGGAGGCCTCCAGGAGCGGGGCTGCCCGGCGGCATTACCCGCCTTGCTGGGCCGCTGCCCTCCGCAATTTTCTGGTCAGTAACTTTCTGAAAGGAGAGCGTGTCTAGTGCGTAGGGAGGGGCAGGCAGGAGAGGATGACGAGAGAGGAAGGGGGAGAAGAAATAGTGGCTGGATTCTTTCCAGGACGGAAAACTGTCTGTCCAAGAACTTCTCCAAAACACAAATTAAATATTCCTCTATCCACCATTAAATTACCGTGAATGGGTGGCTGTGCAACATCCTGACAGGCTGTGTAACAAGGAACGCCGTGTCTCTTCTCTCCTTTATTCCCCTGCATTTTCCTCTGTCCCAGACAGGAACTTCTGTGTCTGTAAGAGTCATTCTCTCCAGGACTTAGCCTCCAGTTGGGACATACTTACTGCCAATTTAGAATTAAACTTAAAAAGGAAAGGTGACACAGACCAGACTCTGAGACCCACGTCTACATTTTGGAAATTGTGCATCCTAGTAAAAGGGACCGCTTCTAAACTGCATGTTGTGGTTTAACCCAGCAGGCAGCTGAATACCACACAGCCGTTTGCTCACTCCCCCCCTTCCCGGTGGGATGGGGGAAGAGAATTAAAAAAAAAAAAGGAGAAAAAAAATAGTAAAATTTGTGGTTGAGATAAAGACAGTTTAATAGGACAAAAAAGGAAGGGAAAATACTGCTACTACTACTAATATATACAAAATAAGTGATGCACAATGCAATTGCTCAACCACCCACAGACCAATGCCCAGCCAGTTCCCGAGCAGTGGTTCCCTGGCCCGCTCCCCCCAGTTTCTATACTGAGCACGATGTCATATGGTATGGAATAGCCCTTGGGCCAGTTCGGGCCAGCTGGCCTGGCTGTGCCCCCTCCCAGCTTCTCACTGGCAGGGCCTGAGAAGCTGCGAAGTCCTTGACTGGTGTAAGCAGTACTTAGCAACAACTAAACATCAGTGTGTTATCAACATTATTCTCATACTAAAACCAAAACACAGCACTATGCCAGCCTTTAGAAGGAAAAACACAGGCCCAGGCCTACAATCACTCTTCCGTTCAACAGTGAGCAAAAGTTTCTGTTCAGGAGCATTGAGAACATGCTGCCTAGTTGAATGGTTTAGTGAGAATGTTAGAAATAACACAACCTTATGAGTGCCAAACAGCAAATTGTCAAATTGCAGATTCTGCAGAAGGAGGTGAATTCAGGAGAGCAGAAGATCGACGAGTAGGTTTGTAGAAATCTCAGGAGGCAGGAGTAGAGTAAGGACCTAGAAGAACATTGCTGAAACTGCTGCAAGCAAGAAAAGAAGAGAGAAGTATTACCTACGCAGAAACACTAAGCCAGAGCCCTCTGTAAAGACAGAGCTCAGGAGCAACAGAAGCCTCAACTATGAGGCTAATGCGGCAACTGCAAGTCTTGTCTCTCGGTAAGATGTGATATCCTAGGAGGCCAGAGGGAAGCCTGTGCCAATTTAACTTGGCCAGAGGTAAGAGAGAAATTGAAAGTCTCGTACTTGTAGGAGCAGTCAAGCTTGAATTTGGACCAAAAGCACATTGTATTGAGTTTTGAGTTTTATCCATCTGCAAAAAGTAGCAGAAATGACGGCAGGAAACCTCGCTTCCCACTGTGTCGTTAGGGAACTTTCACCTCTCACGAAAGAATGGTCTTTTATTTACTGCTTTTCTCTTATGCAGGCTGAAGCCTTTACCTGAGTGTGAACAGTATCAAGGACACGAAAACTGCCCATGGAAAAAAATCAGTACTGAAGTTAATGCTGTCAGCAGGATAACCAGCAAATTCTGTCTTCCCCAGATGGCCCAGATTTTAATGGGGTCACCTTGCAAGACTTGCCTGTAGGATATTAAGGGTCCCAAAGTAACTGTTGGGGCATAAAAAATGTTATGTCCAAGAGTTGCATCACAGACAGATGTTCCTGTGACAGGTCGTCCTTTGCTTAACTATTCTTCCATGTATATTTCCTGACATCCAATGCATCAGTGGCAACTCTTGGGAATAGGAGGCTGTATGGATGTTTGAAACAGATTAAAGTGAAGAGTGAGTGATCTACTTTTTATTTTGCAATAGCAGTGTGAAACCCTAGAGTGCTAGGTATGTGAGGTCAGTTTCTTGCCTTGCTCCCCTTGTCTGACACCTTATTTCTCTTTCTCTCCTCTTCTTCTACCTTCCATCACTCTTCAACTTGTCAGTTAATTTTTTAGTGTCTGCATTTGGCTGATCCAATCCTGCTAAGAGGTTGAAGTTCACGCTGATGCAAACTCTGCAGGCATCAAACTTGATGCTTACAGTTGACATTTTGCAGTGTTTTTTTCTCCTCTTTCCACAGAGATGTAAGTTGTGAAAGAGAGCGCAAGTAAGTGTGTACGCTTATAGTTGAACAATATTTTGTAAATATTTCCTGAAAGCTTGTGAAATTTCTCACATGTTCTTGATTTCCCTTCAAGTCTGCAGAGTAGGCATAAGAAATAGCCAGTCTAGCTCTGAGTTCAGAAGCGAGTAAATAGCCATCAGTTTTGCAAGCTTTGTGTAGATGCCAAAGCCTGATGGCCAAGGGTGATGTGCTGAGACTTTCGAAGACAGGCCAATACACAACCCACATTTTTAGCCATATGCTTTCTTACAGTTTTTAAGCCTGGTCACAGCTTCTTCCTTGAAAATTGCTTCCCCTGAGATAAGATTTCCCATGAAGTGGCACATTTATACATGCTCTGAAGTTTCTGGTTAACCAACTCGTTAGTCCTTCGGTGATTTTGAGAATATAAGTCTATCAGTCTCTGTGTGTTTATGTTCATAGATGCGCCAATGACTTATAAATGGGATTAATTGTAAATTTAACTCATTTAGGAAATGGTTGAAGACCCAGGTACTTCTGCATTTTAGCCTTGCTTAGTCGCACTGGAAGAGCTCTTTGACCCTGCCAGAGATTAGTTTTAGTACCAGTTATGAGATAAGCTTAACTAGTCCTTAAAAATAAGCATATTAAAGCTCTCTGCAGGAACTTTGTTGTGGGGAGGGAATACCGCAGGTCCTAAATTTTTACGTTTATCTTGCTGTTACTAAGTTAATTGAGTGATATAATTTAGACTTTTCTGTTCTTTCAACATTTGGAAAACTCAAATATTATTAAATCTTTAAAGCTGAAGTGTGCTTTTTTTTAACCATTAAAAAGCAATATACCAGTCAGATTCACACTCAATACACAGCACTATGGGAAGCAACTGTGATCCTGGATCACAGGTGATAAGGCCACTGCTTGGAAACAGCACCGTTTTGAGAGCAACAAAGCTGTTTCCATTTTCAAAGCCCATTTTCCCAGTCCCCTGATCAGAGTAAACCTGCATTTGACTATGTGAATGTCCTCATTTGGGTTTTAGTACTAAATAGTAATTTTGCATTATTAACAGCAACCTTTTCTTCTTTCTCTTGTGTTTGGATCTTGCTGTTTTGACTCACAGAGCAGTCAGCTGATTTCAGTAACATACTCCATTCAGTAATTTATTTTTTGCGGGATGACAAGTGACTCACCTTTCAAAACATGCTGAATGCTGAGAAGACTTAGCTTGAAGAGCAAAAAGGATAGACTGATTCATATATAGATGTCTTAGGTAACAGAGAGATGAAATTGTATTCCTTCCAGTAGCCTTAAAAGAAATAGAAAATAAGGTAATATACTAGGAAAACCCATTTTGGTTAAATCTGTTTAGTCGTAGATTAATGTTTGAAAGACAGTGGTGGAACCGCCGTCTCATACTTGAGGCTAATATTGTTGTCTCACTAGGAAAAATCATACTGGATAAAGCCCCACAATGAAAGCTAATGAACCTGGTAACTTTTCAAGTTATTTCTATTTCTGACCTCCATGATGGTGTAGAAATACAGCTGGGGTTGCACTGGTTATGACTTCATTACATAGCAAATCCATCCTATATGATACTCAGAATTGTTCTTTGTACAGGAAGTATTGTATCATTTTTACTGGGTTAAATGGAGTGGCAAGTGAAATCTTGCATATATTAATTGCAAAATAAATTCATGCTTGAAATTTCTTACTTTAAATGTTTGTATTAGGATGAACCTCTTGTTTGAAATGCACCTAGGACACCAGCCTGCAAACAGCATTGCAAATAGTTACATATGATACGCTGAAAAAATGTGTTTTACTGCAGAGCAGATACTATCTCCAAGTGTAGAACAAGAAGTATGTAACATACCAGATATACAGGAAGGTCTGTGATTTTAGAATAAATTTGTCTTTCTCTCTGTGTGTATAGCAAAAGCAGGGATAGATTTGAAATTTCATGATAGAGAAAATTTGCCACTGTTTCATTTATTTGTCATGTTAGGCTAAAGATCTGATTTTTTGTGTTAGCTATTGTGTTGCTTGTAAAGAACCTGTAAATAGAGTATCAGCAGTGGGATACAGCTGCCACCATGATACTGAAGTCCTATCCCCATGTAATAGAAAAGCATTGTTGGTCTTAAATGAAACAATGCAACAGGGCTGGCAGTGAAATGACATCAAAGATGTTCATCAAATTGTTGAACTTAGAAGCATGTTTTAATTATTTTAGATTTGAAGCAGAAGCAGTTTGACTCTAACAAAAGTTTCTTGCTGCAGATCATCCTGTGGGGTCGAACTGAGAAATGCCTGAAGGAGACCACAGAGGAAATCAGGATGATGGGGACAGAATGCCATTACTTCATTTGCGATGTAGGAAATCGAGAGGAGGTCTATCGGCAAGCCAAAGCTGTGCGGGAAAAGGTTAGTGTCTGTGGAAATGCTGTTTGTGAAATTGCAAATTGGGAAAAAAGAAGGGTGACCATCCAGATTATGTTGTACGAGGTCTAGCTACCTGTTTGAAGTGACCCAGAAGGATTACAAAGGCCTATAGGCAAGACTGTCAAAAGCTATGCAAATAATAACGTATTTAGGCAATAATAGATATTCAGATATAATGGTGACTGCTGATTCGTGAGGAGAGAGATTAGTTGTAACAAGTCATTTGCTTTTTTTGCAGGTGGGTGATATCACTATCCTGGTGAACAATGCTGCTGTGGTCCATGGTAAGAGCCTGATGGACAGCGATGATGATGCACTGCTCAAATCACAACATATAAACACCCTGGGACAGTTCTGGGTAAGATAAGCTCTTGTATCACATGTATTCAGAATTGGGAATGAGAATAACAGATTACAGCCAGTAAACCCTTGTCTGCTACTAGGTCTTTCTAAATGATGCTTCATAAAATTAGTCTGACATGAAAAGGAGACAGAAAAAATAATGTGAGGGGCAAAGGCTGGAGAAAAGCAGTCTAAAAAAATTTAATTTTTCCAGTAGTAACACAATATTTGATGCTCTTGTATCCCCATTCTGTGATTTCCAGTAAAACATTTGATTTCTTTTGAGAAAACCTGAGCAAACAGAGGATAGTTTTCTGTACAGTGATGTGCATGGAACATCGGAGGAGCATGAGACTATACTGCTCAAGGAAGGAAGCTAGTGTGAAACTCATTCCATTTTGAATTAGGTAATAGTAATAAAAAAGAACTTCTTGTGATTTCATCATTCTGTTGAAGACTTTATCCTCTACAAGAAGTTCTTAAACATACAAAGCATTCCGTTCATGGCCTTTATCTGTGGGCACTGCTTACTTATGTGCTAGGAAAGATTTTGGTTTGTTTCTACACAGACTTTGCCTGTTTAGAATCTTGCAGAAAATGACAAAGCAACAAGGTACTCTTCCACTCCTTTCCTAGCATAATGAACAGCACAGTTTGCCTTGTTGTCTCTGTGTCACCTTATTTTTTTCAGGAACTATTGTTTTTGTTGTATCTCTGCTAAGCAAACTTTTTTTTTTTTTTTTTTTTTTAAACTCTGTTGTTCTTCAGACCACCAAAGCATTCCTACCAAGGATGCTGGAGTTACAGAATGGACACATTGTTTGCCTGAACTCTGTCCTGGCCTTGTCAGCCATCCCCGGTGCCATTGACTACTGCACCTCCAAAGCCTCGTCCTTCGCCTTTATGGAGAGCCTGACCTTGGGGCTGCTAGACTGCCCTGGAGTGAATGCCACTACAGTGCTGCCCTTCCACACGAGCACAGAGATGTTTCAGGGCATGAGAATCAGGTTAGTCCGGGGGAACTAGAATAAAGCAGCTCATTTTAAATGAATCATCAGAATACACTCCTAATTAATGCTTCATTTAGTTAAGAGAATTTGATGTCTCATTTGGCTGCCTGGGAACACAGGGTCACTCTAGGCCACCTGGGACTCATCAGACTGGTTCCCTCAGTTTGCTGGCATATTCATACAGCCTGCCTGTACCGAGTGAGACATTTGCTTCTACAGAGAAAGCTGAAAGCTATTTTTCCCTGAGTGTATTTGGGCCATATGCCACCACCAGAAAGGGAGGGGAGGCAATCTGAAAGTTGAGGTCATTCAAAAGGAGCAGCCTACAAATTACTTGAGAATGAACAGTACAAATTCCTTCTTTATTCGTTGAAATACTTAATTCTTTCCCACTGAAGGGAATGACAGCCACTTACTGCAGTAAGGCTATCAGTACCTCCTTTTTACCGCTATCTAAGAGAACAGGCTAAATTCAAAGACTAACAGCTGACCAAATTAATCTTTTACAATGGACAAAATAACCTATTAATATAGTTTGTGCTCTCTTAGTCAAGAAAATATGCAGTGTCAGGCTACTGCTGGAGCTGGGAAAAGCCTTCTGATTGGTATTAAAAGCAATGGGGGAAATACTTGTCTTTCACATGTCAAGAATTTGAATCGAGCAAAGAGCAACAGAGAGGAAGGGGAAAAAGACAGCATTTTGGTATTGGCTTGCATACAGTTTAAGAAAATCCCTGAATCAAGGTTCTGAATACACTCTGCCACTTCTCCCGAAAGGCACCAACATGTACATTCTTAACCATTTAGCTAACTCCATAGTACTGGTTGGAACTGAGCTTTCTGCTTTCCAGCTTTCTGGCTGGAACTAGAACTTTCTGCTCCTTCCAGCTTGCTTTGGGGCATGTTTGAATGCCAGTAACCAGTGACAGCTTAGTGAGTAACAGGACTTGGACAGTGATCTCTTAAAGAAGGAGTTTGGTTAACAAATAATTATTTTATTTTTTACTTTATTTATTCAGGTTCCCTAATCTTTTTCCTCCTCTCAAGCCAGAGACAGTGGCTAGGAGGACAGTAGAAGCCGTTCAGATGAATCAAGCCCTCCTGCTCCTTCCATGGACAATGCATGTTCTTGTCATCCTAAAAAGGTAAATGTCTCCTTTGCCCAGCAATAGCCTAGCCCGTTAGGCAAGGTTGGCTTACAGTCCTCTGCATCAGTCCGCCAAGGCAAACCTCAGTTTGACCATAACACGATAGCCAGGATCAGATTGGCTCATCCCTTCCCGTGAAAGGCAGTCATGGAAGCAAAAGGGAGAAAACTTGCTGAGATTCCCTTCGTAGATGTTGTCCCTGGGTATAACCCCTTTATGAAACCAGTTTCACTCCCAAAGTCTGGATTCCTGAGGTCTGAACTGTCTGAACAAATCTAGGAAATTTCTTAACAATTAACATATGCACTCTTTGGACTCCGGGCTTTTTATTGTACAGGATTTCTCTACAATAAGGTATGTACATCACAGCTGTATTTAGACAGCATTGCTTGTGTTAAAGCAATGAAATTACTAAGAAAAATATTTTTGTGTATGATTAGAACAGGAATTTTAAAGTCCCTGAGGAAAGCAAGCTGTAACTTCATATCCTGAAAGAACTAAAGAGAAAGGACATTTAAAATTGTGTTTCCATGAGAGTTTGAACTAAAGCCTTTGGAAAGCCTGCTTCACTCAGGAACTGAAACAAGGCCATGAGATTTCTGTGGAAAATAATTACAATATTGCATTTCAAACAAGAAGAAAGTATTTCACAATAAATGCTTTGCTCTGAATGTAAAATTTGGGATACTCTCAAAAGTTCACAGAAATTCTACAGACTGAAAAAGGGCTGATGCCCTTCTCCTTTACTGTAAGAATTAATCATTTATTTTCCATTACAGTAGCTGTCAGGAAATTTTATCTATATCCATACCTTATGGCAAGGAGGCCACATGCCTAGCACAAATAGGTGGCAAGTTAACCAGAGAACTAAGTTTAAATTTGTGTATTTCAGAGTGCAAGATTCTGCACAATATTTGGGAGGACTAAAACCTGATGGTATCTCCCAAGTTACAGTTTTAACAGACCTTTTTGGATAAATATTTCTGTAGAGAAAGAGTGACTTGATACAACTTTCTCCTTTTAGGCCTACCCACAGCAGGATACTGACACGTTTTGTCTGTGCGCTCACTAGCTGATTCTTCAGTGTATGTGTACTTAACTATGTGTGTACATAAATGCATACTTAGACATCCTCTTATTAGAATAGACTAAGAGGTTTGTCTGGTCTGCTTATTTTCTTTCTCCTTCTCCTGCAGCATTCTCCCTCAGGCAGCACTTGAAGAAATCCACAAGTTTTCTGGAAGCTACACCTGCATGAACACTTTTAAAGGACGAACATAGACTTGATGGTGCAAGGACTGTTCTTCAGTGAAACCAACACAAGCATGCAAATCCTGACAAGACTGTGAATCAGCAGTCTTGGCTTTTAGCCTGTTCATGTGACTTGCACTGCTCTGAGGCAACACATTTCTTGCAGGTCATATCCATAGTAACATGACCTTTGCACAGGATTGAATGACTAGGCTGTGGACCCTTGGAAAGAAAAACGAAAAGTGTGAAATGTTTATATGATGTTTAATTCTTTAGAGTTCAATTGTTAAATCTACTCATAGTTTTAAGATGTAATTTTTGTTTCTAAAGTGTCTGTAAGCTGTCTCAACTGAGAGGCAGCATGTTACACCCCGTACTTTATCCCCTCTCTTCAGAGGAACTGCAATTACAAACTGCTACTGGTTTCATTTCAGCTTTTTGAATGGGGAACTTAAAAAATACTTTGAAGAACTAGAAGTTATGGACACTGAATGGAAGCTTCCTTTCCTTCCTTCACTTCACAACTGTTGATGAAGCTGTTCCCAACCCGCATCAGGGAAAAAGCTAACTGTGGAGCCATGTTTTCTTTGTCAAAGGCCACCCAGGACTTCTGTAAGGACTGTGCTGGGCCCAAGAGAGCTGTCTTACTTCACCTGTGAAGGCTGGAGAGGAATGCTCAGTCAGAAGAGCAGACAGTTTGAATAGTGGAAGATTCTTTCTGTCACTGAACTTACATATGAAATTTAATTGTCTTTCTGAATATTTTTGTTCATTTATGATAAAATATATATATATTTTTAGCATTAATCCCAGATTGCCACGCATGTAGGCAGCATCACATTGGGGATGAACTAAATCTAGAACTAAAACTAGAGCCTGCTTGTACAAACATACGTTCACTGACATAAACCATGCAGAAGAAAATCCATTGTATCAATCTGCACAGTGAAGTAAGTGGAATAATGCTCTAAAAATAGAAGAGACGGTACTGTAGTGCTCCTGAAATGTGACATTTGGAAGCACAGTTAGCAAAGACCTGATTAAATGCACGTTGAATTCAACTGGGAATATACCCATTGTTTTTTAGGGGCATTGAATCAGGCACTCATCAGCCAAAAGTGATAAATACTGCTTGGACTGAAATGCCAGAAGCAGCTAGACATTATTTATTTTTGTAATGATATATTCTCTTTGACAGCCTAGTAAGAGCAACACTGCATTCCTATGCCAGATGCAGTGTGCAGCACTAGGCATAGTAATGTAGTTGAAATATATTGGAACACACTAAAAGAGGAATTAATATAATTGCAATACAGGAAAGTAGCAAGCCTGACTGGAGAGCACCTGAATGAAGCGCCTCAAGGAAGGCCATGTGGTTAAAGTAAAGGAGTGAACTTAGGGCTCCTGACTTGAATTTGCTTTTCTGTAGATGTCCTGTGTGACCTGGGGCAAGCTGCATCATTTCAAGGCGCACCCTGACCTGCAAAGCAGATATTTTTAGCGTTTCCCTACCTCACAAGTTGTAGGTCTGACTACCTAAATGTTTGTCAAAAGCTCAACAAATTCAAATGGAACACGCTATAGAAAGGAGAAGCAGTATTTGTTCATAAACCAAGAGGTTCTACACAAACATTTAGAAGAAGAAAAAAAACATATGCCAAAATATATAATTTCCTAAAAGAGACCTGAGTTACAGCAGAAAAGCTGTGAGCTGTATTTGAGATATTCCTTTGGTTCTGCCATGCAGGATGGAGACCGACTACTTAGGTGCAATGGTGTGAATGTTAAAATCTGAAGGTCTGAACCTACTGCAAATCAATAGATATATCTCCTCTTGAGCAGTTCAAGAGGAAGATATTGCCAAAAGGGCCGTTGATGCAAGCCGCTCCGCCTGCATGGGTATTTTGAGGAGCTCTCCTATCTGGGTCAGTGCTTTCCTTCCGAGTGCAGAACATATAAGCTGTAGTGCTGTGCCAGCTTTGAAAACATTTCTTACAATGGCATTTTGTTTTGAATTCCTAGATGTCTGAGGCTCTCTGGAGAGGATGAAAAGAAACTTTGATCTCTGTGATTTTAATAGATGCTCTCAGCTTTATTTTTTGTCAATTTTTTTGGGAAGAAACACAGTTCATTGAAAACACAAGTGCAATGAGGGGAGAACCCTTCCAGAAGCTGCCAGGAATGCTGAAGGTACCATATTTATCAAGAGGTGCTTGGGAGGGGAAGGGATGATTATATGTACCTCCCCTACCACACTGCAATCCTTTCTAGTTTCTCATTAATCACAGGCATGCCAGGCTGGTAGACGCAAGAGCAAACAGAATTGGTGAAAGAGGGCACCCCCCCGCAGTGTCCTCCTTAAATTAAACCTTTATCCTGAGATTCTATTCATTGATGACATCCTAATGCAAAAGTGAGGTAACAACTAGTACACACATTGAAATTAACTTCCCACTCATCCCCAAATCCTGTCCCTTACATGAATCTGCTCTTTTCCTGCCCTGCATAAAAGATGTTCCCTGTCTTCAGAGGTTGTCTTACATACTGAGTGCTGTTGATTTCTTTCTAATGAATATAAACAACTCGAAACGTAGCTGAGATTCTCGTCATCTCACTCCTCTCATACACATACACACAAACTTCCCTCTTTCTTTCCCTCAGGGTCTCTGAGCAGACAACAGGTCAAATAGCAGTCACAGTGGGGGAGAGGTATGCAGCAAACAGCAAATAATGAGGAAAACATTGACTTTGCTTCTCAGATAGTAAGGAAGAGTTGGGTAAGAGTTTCTTCTCTTGTGAGTGTTGCGAGATAGAATGCTCTCCAATACTCACAAATTTAGATGGATACATCTGAAGGGTTTTTTTTAATAGAAAGGCTCCTCTGGAATGCCTGCTGAGGTCTACTGTCCCTTTACACATAAGGTTAGTATTGGGTAATCTTGAAGTGCTGCAAATGTGGACAAGCTCTGTTGAAGCCTAAGGCCTTCTCAAAGGAATTTCCGCCCTGTGACTTACTTTAATTTTGGTTTTCCCTGCTCTCTCCACTGCCTCCTGCTTTCCACTGCACAATTTTTTTTTTTTCCTTCTGTTTTCCTATGTCATTACTGCACTTTTCAGTGCCACCATCTTGAAGCCAGATGTCATACAAAGAGTCTGGGGTAAATCTAAATCAGGGTATATATTTATTATCCTGCTGGAGGAATCTAGGTGAAGCTGTAGGAGCAGGTCACAGAAGTTTCATATGAAATTAGCTAAGCTCTCCCAGTATTACTTACTCCAATCTATGATGAAGTAGAAGACCCCTTACTATAGTTTTTACACAGGAGATTACCGCTGTTTTAAAATTGGAATGGTAGAGAAATGTTAGCTGTTTTGGGACATCTGTTCTCCTGATATAAAAAGACTCTATTTAAATAGGAGGATTTTTCAGTTCCAGGTGTTTTCAGAGGCTGGTGTTTGTACAAAGTAATTTTCAGAATTAGCAAGGCAGGGCAAGGAGAGGGGGAGTCCTTTGTAAGTAAATCTGATTCCACATGTTTAATATTTGATTTTGTATTTTGCTTTTGATGAGGGGAAAAAAAAATGTTCCTTCATGCACCCTTGGTGAACTTTAAAAAGCTCCTTCCAGCTGCTGATGACATGTTTTAAG